ACACAGATGCATGTACAAAAAATAATAAAAAAGGAAAAACTATATGAAGAATTTAAATTACGTGTTAAAATATATAATTTATCGGAACTAAGCTGGAAAAATAAATTTGAAGGTAAATTAAATTATAAAACATGAGGTAAAGTTCTCCTTTTTAATTTATTTGGTGCATTTTAAATGTATTGATTTATTTTGTGGTTCATGTATATATTTCTGCTTTTATTTCTAATTATGTCAGTTTTGGTCCTCCATACTGCAGAACTTGTAAAAGGTATTCAGTGACTGAATCAGGTGTGTTAGAGCCAGGAAAAAACATAAAACAATGAGAGCTGCAGCCCTCGAGGACCAGGATTGCCCACTCCACACTTTAGAGTTTGTTCAAAAACCATATTTTTACCTCCGATCTGCAGCTCGGGACATCCCATCCTCCTCAGCTGACTGTTGACAGAATCGATTTCTTTGACCAGCGGGACCAGGATGGTGTCGCTGATCCACTGCAGACACCAACGGTTCACGGCTCAGATTAAAAGACTGATGATCGTTTTAACAGATTTAAAACAGGACGACTCACATTTCTCAGCTTAGCTGTCCAGCTGTCGATCCGGTCCATTACCACACGGCTGGTTGTGATCCTGGCCCACACCTACGGTTTACAAACACAGAAAGTTATCCCAAGCTTCGACACAGCTAACCTGTCAACAGATTCATAAACAAACCTCTTCGGCTGCTTGTTTGGAGCCCAAGTCCGTCTCATCCTTGTGGGCAGACGGCGCCTGGGAGCGACACGCCGGCTGGTAGACGAACTTCCTCAAACTCTGAGCGTAATCTCCAACCGAACGGTTGTAGTTCCAAAACGTTGGACTGTGGTTGGGAGACACAGACTCTGGACTTCCTGCGGATGGGATGAAGCAGCTGTTTTATTTTAAAACCCTCCTTCCAACGAGAAGWGTGAACTTACAGGGTTCATCTGTTGTTCCTGTCTCAAATTCTTTGACTTCATCAGTTTTTTTTTTAGCTATTTTTGACCCAAACACTCACAGTACACATACAGTTAAATAACAAACTAACTTTTCTTGGAGGAAAAGAGAAAACGTGTTTCATGTTTTTGCAATGATTTTACAGTTTTAAATAGGGCTGAACGATTAATCGATGACTAATTTAATAATCGATTAATCGTTTTCTTTTTTTTTTTCTTTACTTTGTTTTTCTCTCCAAACTGCTTTGACAGCTTCCACTGCCACGTCTGCCTTTCTGTCCTTGACACACATGCACAGTAGTGGTAACTGGGGTAGGCCGTGGACGTCACAAGACATCATACAGACAGGCTCTGGTATCATGGCTACCCAGCATTGGAGCTCAAAAGTGTGGGATCATTTTAAGAAAACGAAAGAGAAACCTGTGTAATATCTGCAGAGCAGAAGTTGCCTTCCATAGCAGTTATTTTAGTTAGCATTTAGCTAAAATCTAACCATGGTTATATAATAGCAGCTGCATTCTGACGTGATAAGATGTATGTTTTATATTCAATTAACTTATGATCCGATTAGTCGACTAATCAAAAATAATAATCGGTGATTAATCGATTATAAAAATAATTGTTTGAGGCAGCCCTAGTTTTACATGTAAAA